AATTTTCTTTTTTTTTTTTTTTCCTTTTTTTGTCTTTTTTCGTGACCGGCAACGGATCGCAACCCTCAGTGTCGCGCCCGTACCGGACCGGGACCGGCAACGGGATTGCAACCCTTGGTGTTGCCCCCGCACCTCGCTCAGCCAGTGAGCGGGAACCGGTCTGTATGTGGGATCCGAACCCTCGGCGGGAGCGCTGCCGCACTTCCTAAGTGGCGCACTGTAGCAGTGCACCACCGGGCCAGCCCCGATATTGCTAATTTTCTTATTTCTGATCTTATATCAGTAAGATGTTGTATAATACAAATATTAAATATTTTAACATCAGAAATAGTTGATTTCTTGCCTCTGGAATAATCTTTGTCTTTTTGTACAGTGATTATGTTTTATATGTCAGCTGTTATAGTTAAGTGCTTGCTTTATAATGGTGTGGAATATGTCATTTGAATTGGATGTGTCATTTTATCCTGTTTTTCTTTTTTTCCACAGCAATACAAGTTCTTGCGCTTTAGAAGATCTCTACTATTACTAGTTAAACATAGTTGTGTGGAATCACTGTTCCTGATTAGAAATTTCTGCATTGTGTATTATTTTCTTGGTAAGAATTTCTGCTTTTTGATACAGTGTATGTATTAGCTTGTATCTCAAGAAATGTCAGCTACAAAATCATTCTTGATTATGTTTGTATGTTTTCTACAGTTGTAGGTATGTGATTAGCCAAACTGATTGTTTAAATCATCAGAATATTTATTTAAAGGAAAATATTAAGAAAATGTGATTGATATATATAATGAAATATTATTCAGCCTTTAAAAAGAAGGAAATCTGGGCCGGCCCGGTGGCGCACTGCTATAGTGCGCCGCTTGGGAAGTGTAGCGGCGCTCCCGCCGAGGGTTCGGATCCCACATACAGCCCGGTTCCCGCTAACTGGCTGAGCGAGGCGCGGGAGCAGCACCAAGGGTTGCGATCCCGTTGCCGGTCCCGGTCCGGTACGGGGGCGACACTGAGGGTTGCGATCCGTTGCCGGACACGGAAAAAGACAAAAAAAAAAAAGAAGGAAATCTTGTCATGTGCTACAACATGGATAAAGCTTGAGGACATTATGCTAACTGAAATAACTGAGTCACAAAAAGACAAATTCTTCATGATTCCACTTGTATGTGGTATCTAAAGTAGTTAAATTCTTAGAAATAGAAAGTAGAATGGTGGTTGCTAGGGGCTTGGGAGATGGGGAAAAGGGGATGAGTTTTTCTGTGGGTATACAATTTCAGTAATGCAAGATGAAAAAGTTCTAGAGATCTGTCGCACAACAACGTGCATATAGTTAACACTGCTGTACAATTAAAAGTGATTAAGATGGTAAACTTTTTGTTTTGTTTTTAAACCACATTAAAAAATGTATTCTTTTAAAAAAAGAAAATATTGTGCATCATTTGGTCATTACTCTTATCTAAAAATAACATACGCCTTTTTATAAGTTCGTGACTTGATACTAATTCAATAGGAATATCCTGTTGGTAGGAGAACCTTGTAGAATTTATTAACATGAATTTTTTTTTTTTTTTTTTGTCTTTTTTTCCGTGTCCGGCAACGGATTGCAACCCTCAGTGTCGCGCCCGTACCGGACCGGGACCGGCAACGGGATCGCAACCCTCGGTGTTGCTCCTGCGCACCGCTCAGCCAGTGAGCGGGAACCGGTTTGTATGTGGGATCCGAACCCTCGGCGGGAGCGCCGCCATGCTTCCCAAGCGGCACACTACAGCAGTGCGCCACCGGGCCGGCCCCTTTTTTTTTTGTCTTTTTTTGTGACTGGTAAGGGATCACAACCCTTGGCTTGGTGTCACCCGCACCGTGCTCAGCCAGTGAGTGCACCAGCCATCCTTATATAGGATCCGAACCCGTGGCGGGAGCACCGCTGCGCTCCCAAGCGCTGCACTCTCCCGAGTGCACCACGGGGCCGGCCCTAACATGAATTTTAAGCACAAAAATGTAGTTTATTTAGTATAATGAGCAGTACAGGTATAACATGAATCTCATCTGCAACACTTCATAATATAAACAAAATCCAACATTCAAAAGTACTGTTTTTAGACTTTTTCTGATCCTACTTTTTTCCATGGATATAATTTTACTGAACTGTCCTCACTGTATAAGCCATCCTGTTGTTTACTTTTTTCACTTGTAGTTTATATAATCCATTTTTCTATATAGCTCTTGTCATTCTGATGTTAATACTTCATTACTACAATCAGCCTGGCTCTTCCCCTAGAGATGTGCCTTTGGCTGACATAGTGGCTGTGTCAACATTCCCATCGTCAGCTCTTTTTTTCTATAACTCCATTTATATTGTATTCAAATTTCATTTCCAGCAGTATCACTTTTCATTTCTTTGCTGTGCTTTGAACATTTTTGGCCAGTTTCTTCTTTCAGCTATTCATTTTTGTAAAATGTCATGTAGATTTATCATGGGAGACAAGGAGACAACACAGCTATGTGCTTTGCTCTTTGTGCCTGAACTGAGTAACGGATGCAAGTGACCAGTCACCAGCAGACTGAGAGAAGTAACAGGATTGGTCACAGATCATGGTGTGCGTCTGTTATCTACATATTGATTTGTGTACTAAAAAGCTAGAAGTGCTTGCTATATGCAGTTGCTTGCAGTTATTATTATTATTTTTTTTGGTTAATATACCATGGTAACTGAAATTTGAACTGTGTTGTTGGGGGACTGGCATTTTTTAACTAAACCATGGTAACAAATAGGTATATATCAGGACCGTGCAAAGCAAGGACTATATTTAGAAATTATTTTCTTTTCCTACTCATTCCTACTTAAACATTCTAGCATTTTTACTGAGGTCTTGGTGTTTACTTGGTCATATCATTGACCTCATGTCCTATAGCCCTGTTTTTTTTTCTTAGTGGGGAACCAGACTCTTGACGTTGGTGTTACAAGGCTGTGCTCTATGACCTCATATTCTAAAGCATGATTGAGATTTACTTTATTAACCTTTCGTGTTCATAGCTTGGTATTTTTCCCCCTCAGGCCATATTCCCAAAGCTTGGATTAGCACTGCTATGGATCTTCACATAGATGAGTAAGTGATATATAAAAAGTCTAATTTTAACTCTGTTTCCATCCCTTAGGTGTTTGCTACTTTCCACATGTTTAGATTTAGCCTTTAAACATTTTTTTGAAAATTGTACTCATTTATTCATTGTACACATAGGTTACATAGTTTAAAGTTCCAAAGGTATATAAAGTGTATGCAGTGAAGAAGACACCTACTGCCCCTGTCTCCAGTCACCTAGTTCCTCTTCCCAAAAGTAAACAATAATTCATTCTTTTTTTGTTAGATATAGCTTTTATACTATACAAAAGTATACTTCTTGAGTTGCATGAACCATGCCTCTCTTGTTTTCCCTCAACATTCATTCTGTGGTATCTTGTGGTACACACCAATGCTGTGGCTTTCTTCTTTTTTCTGATGTTTGGTCAGTACAGGGCGCGAACCCTGGACCTTGGTGTTTGTTATCAGCGCCATGCTTTAACCATGCTGTGGCATTATTCTCATTTTGCCTATGAGAAAACCAAAATTGAGAAAGGTCAAGTAACCAGTTGAAGGACACAGTGTCAACTGAGTGGCAGCCCTGAGATGTATTGTTCTAGTTATCCCCCACATATTTTGCAGGTTTGATCAATATTTGCTGGATAAATGTCAGTTTCTCTCAGTGTTCTTTTAATTATTGGTTATTCCACTGTGAGACTTTTATGTATCATATATGGAATTCACTAATATCAGTTTTGGGGAGTGGGAATATTGGCATATGTGGATATTTAAGAGGTATTGTGATTTCTATGATGTAGATTTCAATTCCTTACTTTTAAAAGTTCCTAGGTAAAATTTAGTTTTGTCTTGTGCTTAATTGCTAGGTATGAAACCAAATGTGTGGGTCATTTATTATGTTAGCCCAGATTTTAAACTGGGTCAGATGGAAAGAGAAAAAATATTTGATAGAAATTTAACATGATACTTTTTTCCTCCTTTTAGTCAAAAAATGTTTTGTCTGTATGGCTGAGTGCCTGATATTCTGTCCATCATGTATGTCAGGCCCTCAGTTAAATATTAAAAGTTAAAAATAATTTCATTATATATTGATCCCCCAGTTGATGTCAAGCACTGTGCTGGGTACTCCTAATGTAAGCTGTTTTAAATCTTGTAATAGCCCTAAAAGGAAGAATGAAGAGATTATGCCAATATTATATTGGTTAAGAAACTGAGGGTGGGGTAGGTTGAGTGATTTAACCTAATCTTAACACTTATAAATGGCAGAGTCAGAGGTTCAAATCCTGGTTTTCACAATTGCTAGTTGTGTGATTTTAGGATTATGACTTAATCGATCTATTCAAGGTTTTGGTAAGATGGTAACATTAGCTTTATTTAGCATTCTAACAGAGTTTCTTAAATTGTTTTAAAAGTAAAAATCATTATTTTAGTAGCATGTGCTTTTAACCACTGTAAAACTGTTTATAGAGTATTAAACTACAAAGCATTAAACTACAAAGCAACAATGATAACTTTCACCCAGCTTCTAGTAGTTAGGCTTATGGGCTGGGTTCATTCTTCATCCATAGTAAATGTCAGTGAAGACTTGGAACACAAGAAACTGTAGTGCCAATTTAGGTCGATGCTTCCTTTACAGCTCCCTGTGTACCTTGTTAGGAGGTGTTAGGGAAAGAACCCTATAAGGGTACAAAAGGAGAGGTGTCTGTCAGCATTATTATTTAGAAATAGTATTTATTTGTTTCTCCAAGTCTGTTAAATGCTTAGGTTATATTTTTCCCGTAGGATTAAATAGTAATTTCTGCTTTCATAGGCAATTTCATAGGCCTCTTGATACTGTGAGTGGCCTTTTGAGTCTCTCATTACTCTACCATGTGTGGCTATGTGGTGTCTTTCTACTGATGACTTGGTACATCTCATGGATACTCTTCAAAATCTATGCCACAGAGGTTAGTATTGAGTTTTTTGTTAATATTATGTGTTTTAGAATGCACAAATTGATTTTTAGTAGAGCACTGATCAGGGTGCTATGCCCAAAAACATTTCAATAAGTTGGTTTTTGATCTTTCTTCTGAGACTTTACTAAGGGCATATTATTTATAACCATCATTTGCTTTGGTTTTTTTTTTGTTTGTTTGTTTTACTTTGGTTTTTTTTTCTGAGGAACAGTGTTGGTATTACTTAATTTTTGGAAATTAAACTGAATGGACTACCAATGGTACTTACTATGTTTTATTTACAGTCTAGTTCTTTTCCAGAGGCTTCTACTTCTCTGTTGAGTACCTACTAAGTGGTCCTGAATTTTAAATTAACTTTACATGCTACTGACATAGATACTATAAAAATATTTAAATATATGGCAATCAAATGTTTGTTTTTTGAAGGAAAGTTTTAAAATTTATATTGAAGAAATTATTTTGAAAATTGAGACGATCTTCTGGGTAATATCCACAAAAAATCTTAAGTGAATAAGAATTACATTGCTTGGGCCGGCCCGTGGCTCACTCGGGAGAGTGTGGTGCTGATAACACCAAGGCCCCGGGTTCGGATCCCATATATGGATGGCTGGTTTGCTCACTGGCTGAGCGTGGTGCTGACAACACCAAGTCAAGGGTTAAGATCCCCTTACCGGTCATCTTTAAAAAAAAAAAAAAAAAAAGAATTACATTGCTTTTATCATCCAAGTGTTTGTATTAGAATATATGTGTTTGTTTCATTTTAGTATCTCTGTAGGTTTTTTTCTTCAGTGGTTTGAAAGAATCCTAGTTTCTGAAACTTGTTTCTATTATTGGAAGCCGGTATCTTAAAATTGGGACAGTAACATTTTTTTAAATGGTGTGTTTGGGTTTATATTACTTTAATGTAACCTGTTTTTGCAAGGAGCACTAAAGATCTTAATTTGGTTGTATTGTCTCCTTTTATGGTAATTTCATTTAGGGCTTACTTACTGAATATAACAAAGTCATGAAAATAATCATTGTCATAGTCTTTATATTTGATTATATTTGATAGGCTCATGTGTTCCCTGTTCAACCACCATTTGCAGAAGAATCAGATGAATGCCTCCCAAAAGTTTTAAACAGCAATCCTCCTCTCATCATAAAGGTACCAGAACTGTGCATTTTGTATCTTTACACAGCCTTCTCTAATTTACCTTACAGAATGAACTTAATATTTAGCATATTTATTTAGATATATTTTTGAGGGCCTAGAATATTCTAGTACTGGTATTATAAAAATTACCTATTTGCTAATGCTGTTTATTTTTTTTAGTTTTCATTCCAATTGACTGAAGTGCTAGCGTGTAGTGCAGTGTATGTGTACAAGCTAGCTAATTCTCTGCCCAGGAAAGATACAAAAATATTTCTCAGCATAATGCATATCCAGCTATGGGCATTAGCATCAAAAGAGTTTAAAGAGGCTGTAATAAGTTTATAAATCAAGCTAATTGAGTATAAATTGTTTTGATTCAAATCACAATTTGAAAATTTGAAATGGATCTATAATATGTGTTATCATGTTAAAAGGTATGGTACTTTACAATGAATCGAAAGAAAGTAGAACCCAGAGTTTTGATCACACTCTAGAGAAGTTATAAACAAGAAAATGAACCACCGAGGTCCTAATTACCTTTAAATATCAATTATGACTAATATGTTATATAAACTTAAAAATATCAGTAACTCATTTGGTTGTTTACCAAATCCTTATTTAGTGGGAAGGTGTCAGTTACTGCTAGTTGCTTGGGGTAGAATGATGAAAAAGATATAGCACAGCCTAATAGAAAAGGCAGACACATGAAATAATTAACATTTACTATGGCAAGTGCAGTAGGACCACTTATTCTGCTTGGGATCAGTACAAGAAAGCTTTACAGAAGGGATGATATCTTGAAGGATGAGTAAAGAGGTATGCCAGGGGAAAAAAATGAAGATTTTCAGTGAAAAAGAACAACAGATGTTGTGTCTCCTCTTTGGATCTGGTAGCAAGCAAGATGTTGTCCCTGTTGTTGTGGCCTCACAGTTTGATGGGTAGAACTAGAGAAAACAAATGAACAGGCAGTTATAATACATTATTTTACATGCCACAGTTAAGAGCCATGCAAATGTATGTTTGTGTGAGGGAGGCCAGGGAACATTCCAGGAGGAAGTGATGTTTTAAGTTTCCCACCACAGAGGAATGAAAAAACAGAGAGGTTCTGTCATTCCTTATAGATGGAGCCTACAGTGGATAGGGAGGGTAGAGGCAGGAAAGTTCTGGAAGTCTAGAAAGGAAGGTTATGGTTCTGAAATATTATTTCTTTCATGAAAACATGCAACTAATTTCCCCTTGGATATATGATGATGGGCCCAATTCATAAATAAGATTTTGTGTGGAGGGTAAAAACATTAAATAATGAGTTTTTTTTTTCCTTTTAGTATTTAGCCTTGCAAGACCTGATGTTGCTTTCTCAATATTCTCCTTCACGAAGACAAGAAGTTTTTAGCCTTAGCCAACCAGGTATTGCTAGAAGTAATAGACCTGATGAAGCATGTATGTGCAGAATGTGCTCCCCTTAAAGTTTTTGGTGACAGAGGTTTATTTAATAAAATATCACACATTAGTTAGTCCATTAAATGAAGTATTGATTAATTTCTTTTTTTTTTTTGGGGGTGGCTGGCCAGTGTGGGAATCCAAATCCTTGACCTAGGTTTTACAAGTCTGCATTCTAACGAGCTGAGCTAACTGGCCAGCCCTGACTTAAATTTTATACAACTTAAGAGTTTGCATTGCTATGGGTAGAATTTGTTGCCAGGAAAAATATTTTAAAGATTTTTTTCATTTAGTTTCTTCATTCTCTTAACCTGAAGGAACGGTGCAGTAGATCGACAGTTTTAAAGGACAATTTTGCACAGCTTAAGCATCCTCGAAGTTTTAATATGACAGGGGGTCTTAAAAATCAGATGGTCTGATCCCTAGCTGGGCGGTCTAAATCTCAGAGAGAGTAAGTGGCTTAAATAAAGTTAATGTCAGAATTGAAATAATTCGGGCTGGCCCGGTGGCGCACTCGATAGAGTGCAGCGCTTGGGAGTGTGGCGGCGCTCCCGCCGAGGGTTCGGATCCCATATAGAGACCGGTCCGCTCACTGGTTGAGTGCGGTACGGGCGCGACACCGAGGGTTGCGATCCCGTTGCCGGTCGCGGTACTGGCACGACACCGAGGGTTGCGATCCCGTTACCAGTCACGAAAAAAGACAAAAAGGAAAAAAAAAAGAATTGAAATAATTCTGTCATTTGACTCTAATAAGTACAGAGCTCCCTTCTCCTGCTACGCTACTCTGCCTTCCTATAAAAAAAAAGAAGGAACTAGTTTAGATGGTGACCCAAGGATGCCTATGGCAACTCAGAAACATTTCTCCACTGTTACTTACCAAGCTGTTCAAGACTGTGATTTTGCCAGTGCTCTGCCTTGTTCCTAGAGGAAAAATGTGGGGAACAGAGAATCTGGGTAGCTTTTTATCTTCTTTCTAATCAGCTCCTCATTATTTTGCCAAACTTGCCAAGTCCCAAATTGTAAAATAAACCTTTTATAGTTAAATGTTATATGGAAATGAAATTCAGTTATACAGAAATATGTTGATTGGAACCCCTCTCCTTTTAGTAGCATGAGAAATCCAGAGGTGATACTATGGAAAAGTAACTATACCAATACTTTTCTGTCAGTCTTGGGTTAACTTAGGAATTCTTATACGTGAAATTTTTTTTTTTTTTTTTTTTTTGTCTTTTTCCATGTCCGGCAACGGATCGCAACCCTCAGTGTTGCCCCCGTACCGGACCGGGACCGGCAACGGGATCGCAACCCTCGGTGTTGCCCCCGCGCCTCGCTCAGCCAGTGAGCAGGAACCGGTCTGTATGCGGGATCCGAACCCTCGGCGGGAGCGCAGCCGCGCTTCCCAAGCGGCGCACTAGCGCAGTGCGCCACCGGGCCGGCCCTACGTGAAATATTTTTGCCAGAGAGTCAAGTAAACTGTAACATGGTGGCATGTGCTCTGACAGAGAACCTGCATTCTAGACATATTATTAAAATTTAACTGGACTGTTACACATTTCATAGTGATCCCGAGTTACAGCAATACAAAACATTCTGAGGCCTACTGATAGAGTATTTTCATGTGTGTTTGTCTGCAGGTTAAGTGGTATTCCTCTTGACTTGTAAATGGGAGAAATGTTAAGCAGAGATCTGAGTGGAGACAGAATGATCACTTGGTACACAGGAGGGAGAAACCAGATTTTGTTGGACTTCTGTTCTCAACACATTAACGGAGCATGTTTAATTTTTGCATGATAACTCTACGAGACAAAGGTCTTAGAAAATCAAAAGATAATAAGAAGTAAGGGAATTTTTAAAGGAATGGGGATCATAGTAGTTTAAGTTTAATAATTAGATAGCAGATAGGTAAACTCTGCAAGTGTAAGGTATGATTATTATCAAATAATAAGTCATTCCTACAGATGTAATAGCAAATAGTGGCTACTTTATGAATGAAAATGCAAGAAAGCACAGTGTGTCAGACACAACAGTTTAGAGGTCATTGGGGACCATGGGCTGCATCTCATCGGACATCCTAGTGTTCATTGTCTTAATTCTTTGTTTATAGTCTCAGCAGTCTGTTCAATACCGTTAGTGAAGTAACCCTGCTCTCTCATACTCAAACCATGACTTAGTGTTTGGCTTTATTTTAGCGATCAATTGGAGGGGTTTTTTATTGTAAAATAGCAAGTTTTTGCTTGACACTTTTAGGAAAATTCTTCCAAATATTTATTGAATGCCTGCTGTCTGTTAGATTGTATAATATAAATAGTAGCTTAACTTAGAAAAGTGGGCCTGAAAACAAAGTGTAATGTAGCATTTATTATTGATTTTTTTTCCCTTCTGTGAGTGGAGATTATAAGATTATCTACATTTTAAAGCTGGTGTTTGGATCTTGTAGGTGGACATCCTCACAATTGGACAGCCATTTCTAGGGAGTGTTTGAATCTTTTAAATGATATGACTCAGAAACTGGTTCTCTACCAAGAAGCTGCTGCTACAAATGGGAGAGTGTCTTCATCATACCTAGTGGAACCTAGGAAATTGAATTCTCCAGGTAACTCCTAGTACTATTAAGGAGGGGAAAGCATTTACATTTTATTTCCTAAGAAAGGTGACAGTAGTTAATCTGAGGATACTTATGTGAATATGAGGTGTACATTTTTAGGGAAAATTGTTCAACATATGGGATATTGTACTGAACCAAGAAAAAGATCTGGGTATCATTGTAGATTGAAAAAATTAAGTCCAAACATCACAATTTATACCATAAATACATACAATTTTTCATCTTTGAAATAAAAAAAAATTGTTGTGGTGGTGGTGGTAGTAAAAGGCTGACAAAATGTTGGTCATCAAATGGAAGACTTCAGCCTACCAGAAAGCCTCGCTTACCAAAGCCAGGGGATTCCTTACAGGTAATATTGTATGATGTTCTGGTTGCAGTATCCCAGACAAAAAGTTGCTGGTCCAGAGAAGAGCAACTGAAATGACTGAGTGATTTGAGAGTGGTGCATCACCCTCACTGTTTCAAGATAGCCCAATATAATGTTAATACCCCTTTCCTTTTGAAAGCTGTAAGCTGAAAGGGAGAAGTGCAGGTGGAGGAACCTCTGCCATTCACCAAATCCCTTAAGTAGAAAGAAGATATTTGAATGTAAGTCTGATGAAAGGACTTAATGTTCAGATACCAGGCATTTAATGAGTGTGGGTGAAACTGGCTGGATGAGGACAGTGGTCTACCTGAGAGCACAGGCTTCATATGAAGGACAGATGGGGTAGCTTTACTCCGTTGTTCCCAAGTGAGAATTTGGGGTTTTTTTTTTTTTCCTTTTTGTCTTTTTTTTTCGTGACTGGCAACGGATCGGAACCCTCAGTGTCGCGCCCGTACCGGACCGGGACAGGCAACGGGATCGCAACCCTCGGCGTTGCGCCCGCACCTCGCTCAGCCAGTGAGCGGCCGGTCTGTATGTGGGATCCGAACCCTCGGCGGGAGCGCCACCGCGCTCCCAAGCGGCGCACTGTAGCAGTGCGCCACCGGGCCGGCCCTGTGGTTTTGTTTTTGTTTTTTCTTTTTTGCAGCTGACTGATAAGGGGATCTGGGGCCGGCCCGGTGGCGCACTGCTACAGTGTGCCACTTGGGAGCGTGGCGGCGCTCCCGCCGAGGGTTCGGATCCCACATACAGACCGGCCGCTCACTGGCTGAGCGAGGTGCGGGCGCAACACCGAGGGTTGCGATCCTGTTGTCGGTCCCGGTCCGGTACGGGCGCGACACTGAGGGTTGCGATCCGTTGCCGGTCACGAAAAAAGAGACAAAAAAAGAAAAAAAAAAAAAAAGGGGATCTGAATCCTTGACCTTGGTATTATCAGCACCATGCTCTAACCAACCATGTAGGATTTTGGACCCAGTATCTGAACTTCTAGTTGTGTGTTTTTTTTTTTAAAAGAGAAGCCTGAAATCTAAAAAAATTTTAGGTGAAATCTTCTACTTTTTAAATGTTGGCAACTAATCTTAATATTTAAAAATTACCATATAGACCAAAGTAAACTTGTTTGTAATTTTGAAGTCATTACTCTGAAGGGACTGGTCATGGCCCAAAAACAAATAGATTACAAATGAAAAATTATTTAAATAAGTTTATGAATGTCAGATTTTAAAAGATTTCTGGAGTGTTTCGGATGTTATCAACTTTCAGATAAGCATTAATTTATTCAACAAATATTTATTGAATGCCTACTATATACCAAGCAGTGTGCTTGACGCCAGAAAATCACACATGAAAAAAACACATTTGGAACTGACCTTTCAGTGGAAGGCACACAAATAATGACAAAATAATATTATTGCTGAAAGGAAATCTGTCAGAAAGGAGTCTGAATGGGAAAGACAATGTTTGATAATGAAAGGAGGCCTTGTATGCTACAAAGAAAAGTACATTGTATTTCATAGGGATATGGAAACTTTGGAGAATTTCGAATAGGCTAGTTATATCAAGTTAGCATTTTAGAAAGATCGTTGTAATCCTCGGTTGGGTGGATCATGGGTCTGGCCAGACATGGAGATTTCATATTTTAAATTGTCATATTCTATCACTCAGTGACAGTTTTACCTCCAATTTTGAGGAATAATTGTAATACTCTTAAAAACTCCAGTCTTAATTTTTAAATTGATTCCTCAAAGATTTCTAATTTCCACTAGCCCTTTAAACTTCATTTAATAAAAATTTGGTACTTTGAGTGTTTTATTTCTTACAGTAACTTTATTAAGAAGATAGACTCCTATTGCAGTTTATTTGTCTTTGTGCTTTGTGCTGGAGTGGCAGGAAAATTCCTTTTTTTGGTACAATAGACTCTAACTAAATTGGTGGAGTTATAAAATAATTTGTAAAGACGCCGTTTACAGGTCAGATATGTAGGGTCAGATTTATAGATATCCTGGGCAAATTAGTCTTTGATGTGACTTTTAGTAACTTAAAGAACTTTGGGGAAAATGGGATAAGGTTAGCACTTTTTTCCTGTACATTTTCACAATGTAGATTTGGTGTGTTTAGCCAAGTAATCGTTACAATAGGAACATGCATCAAAATTAGACAGATTCTAATGCAATAATTAAAGTTATTGCCATTTAAAAATAAAATGTGAACTTAATGAGTTCATTCAAAACAGCTTAGAGTTAGAGAAGCTGACTGTGAAGATGGAGATAATTGTGGAGGGGGAAAAACAAGAGAGGCTACACTAGTCTGACTGAGAAAAATGTATGAAGCTCTTTGAATGATCATTGAATTGCAGTAGTAAAATATGGATCTTGAGAATGTAAACCTAAATGAAAACAATCTACTGAACCTTGGGTAAATGTGTTAAACAAAAATTGAGTTGTGTAGCATTTGAGAACGTCTGTGATAGCCTGCTTGGGTCATGTTGCCTCTTCAGCACTGGGTCTGTTCTTTTACAGAAGAAACTACTTTTCAGACAACAAAATCTAGCCAGATGCCTCGGTCTTCAGTGCCACCATTAGTTAAAACATCACTGCTTTCTTCAAAATTCTCTACACCTGATGTTGCAAGTTCCCCTGGTACTCCATTTGGCTCTAGTCTAGTGAATCGGATGGCTGGAATTTTTGATGTAAATCCCTGCTATGGCTCACTGCAAAGTCCACAGCTAGTAAGAAGAGGGCCAAGATTATGGACTTTTGCTTGTGGTGAGAACTATTTATTTTCTAAAATTTGAAACGTCATAGTTGCAGAGGATCAGACAGCCTAAGTTCTTACCTTTTTTTTTTTTTTTATAGATCAGCAAATGACTGAGTTTTCTAATCCTTCTCCATCTACCTCTATTAGTGTTGATGGTAAGACAGTCAAACAGCCCAGTGTGATTTATTCATGGATTCAGAATAAACGTGAACAGGTAGGATGGTATGGTTATAGGATTCATATTTGCATGTAACATTGAGAGCATTAAAGATCTCACATGTAAGTCATCAGGAATAAATAGAATTAGGTTTTTTTTTTTTGGATGTTTCATGTATTAAGCTGACCCATATAAGACTGCCAGTATTTGACTGGTTTTGAGCTCTATAAACTGCAATTTTATATGGTTCAACTTCATAAAATACCTTTAATCTGTGACTTCTTTCATTTAAGAAACATTTGAGTTCTTAATATATGCAGGGTGCAGTTTTAGGCAATGGGAAAATAGTAAACAAAACAGTCCTTTTCCATATAATGTTTACATTCTAGTGAAGGGAAATAGATGAGCAAGCAAATGTATTATACTTTATCTCTTTGGAATATAAAATGCCATTAATTGTAAGACTTATGTACTTTTAAGAAAAAAAAAGTTGTCTTAAATTATGACATGCTATTGACTGTAAGATGCATCCTGATAGGTCATGTTCAAGATAAGAAAAATATGCTTAAAAGGGGAGAAATTTGATATGTCTAAAGTATTATACAGAAAAATAGAGCAGGTAAGGGAATCAGAGTACCTGGGGGAGAGAATACTATTTTATGTGGAGTGTTCAGGGGAAGACTTATTGATAAGGTGATACTTGATCAGAGACATGAAGGGAAGGCAGGGAGCAGCAAAATGCAAAAACCCTTTGATGGGAGTGTGCCTGACTTCTGTGAGGAACACTGTGGACACCAGTGTGGCTGGAGCAAAGTGAGTGAGGGGAGAGTGGTAGGTGGGTGATAAAGTCAGAGAGGTAGCAGACACTCAGGGCTCACTGGGCCCATTAGCCGTTGTAAAGACTGGCTTTTTCTCTGAGTTAGATAGACATCTGTATGATTTTGCCCACAAGAATGATAAAATTTAACTTAAATTTTGAAAGTGCTGCTCTAATGGCTCTGTTGAGACCAAACTCTTGGTGGGCAGGCATGGAAGCAGAGAGACTGTTAAGGCTCTAACAGTAATCTAGCTATGACTAGAGTAGTGTGGTGGGGGTTGTAAAATATGATCAAAGACTGGATATGTATTTTAAGGTAGATGTAATAGGATTTGCTTATGGTTTGGTTGTGGTGTATTACAGTCATTGTTGACTAAGGGTTTTGGCCTGAGGATCTAGAATAATATAGTTTCAGTTTATTGAGTTGCAATTTACTGATGATTCTGGAGGAGGAGATTTGATAAAGGTGAGGTGTGGAAATCAGGAGTTTGATTTTGGACATGCCAATTTTGAGATACCTACTAGACAACCAAGTGAAAATACTAAGTAGGAAATTAGACGTGTACCTGGAGTGTAGGAGAAAGTTCTGGGTTAGAAATGTAAACTTGGCAGTCATCAGCGTGCAGACAGTATCTAAAGCCATGAGACTCAATGCAAATTCTTGAGTATAGATACAGAGAGATACAAGAACTGGGACCCTCCAGTGCTCTGAGAGATGAGGAGAAATAGCAAAAGAGACTGAGGAGTAGCCATTGAGCTAAGTAGAGAACCAAGAAAAGAAAGTGTTTCAAGGAGAAGAAAGAGGGAGTATCAGATGGTGCTGATAGGTAGCGTGAGATAAAAACTAAGAATTAACTGTTGAGCTAGTAATGTGGAGGTCACTGAGTCCTTGACGTGAGCTCTTGGGTAGAGTAGTGGGGACGAAAGTATGATAGGTGTGGGTTTAGGAGAGATTGGGAGAGGAATTTTGGAGACTGTAAAACAAACAAATAAACGAAAAACATCTTTCAAGGAATTTTGTAAGTGGAGCAGAGAAATGGGGCACTTTAGCTGGAGGGAGTTGAGGGGTCAGGGAAGGGTTTTATTTTTTAAGATGGGGAAAAGTCATAATGTATGCTGATAGAATGAACGATTAGTACAGAGAGAAGAGTTAAAGGCATTTATAAACTTCAGGGTCGCATATGGCTCTATATGCCATAAGTACTGCCAAGTCACTTTTTGTGCAGCAATTAGAAACATGCTCCCTGTAGCATTCCTCTGATTAGTCATGTAGCTTTTGGGTGAGAGTATGGTAGGAGCAAATTCACTTTCAACTCAGTTGGGTTAGCTTTCAGCTTGACACTAAGAACATTTTTTCCTTTGTCAGTGTCAACTAGTAGAAAACCACTTCATGTTTTTTTGTTTTTTTTTTCTGTAAGGGAAACATGGATTTTTGGTATTAAGAGGTTAAAGGTCAGGGTAATTGTAGAGAATTAAAAAAGAATATGGTCTTAGAAAATATCACCAGAACCACTTAGAATTCCTTTTATTATGGCAGGGCTCTAATTTGGGGCTTAAACTTGTGTCCTTGGGAATACAATTTAGGGTAGATGGCCCATCTTGTTATCCAGTTTATTTTACAAACATATTTACTCATGTGGTTAATTGTAAATATTACTTTTTTCTCTGCAAGATGTGAGGTGTTTTATTTTTTCCTTCAAGTTAGTGTCAGGAAGATCTTGGAAATGTGTAATATTATATTTGAGTAAAATTAAAAATGTAAATGTGTTTGTTCTTCCTTTTTTCCAACTCAGATTAAGAATTTCTTGTCAAAACGGGTGCTGATCATGTATTTTTTCAGTAAGGTAAGAATATGTAGTTATAGCATTGGTGATTGGGGGAGAAGAAATGAAATATGAAATGAAGTACCAGATAGGATCTGACTTGTAAATATTTTATAGCTCAATACTAGCACTGCAGGCAGCTTTGCATAGAGCTTTGTTGAACGTCCATTTTAGCAATAGTTGCCCTAGACACACATTTCATCTCAAGGGTGGCTTCCTGAGGCTCTGTAGGAGGCCTCCTGAGACTCTTGTCAGCTTTATGCTAATATGCAACATTGACTCCTTCCGGCTGCCTAGATCTTAGCCAAGTGAGCACATCCATAGCTATCTGATGCTTTATTGCTCATTGTCTTGCTAACATCTTTGTGGCCAATTTAGTATTCAAAAAAGAGATGACTAAGTTAGATTGCATATGTTAAGTTTGTGATGTATAAAAAATTGTAATTCAGACCGCAAATGAAATTACTTTCCAACTTGTCTATCAGCTGTTCCAGCTGCCAAGGAGAGTAAATCTCATTTGCAGAAGCTAAAGATTCATTCCTGATTTCACTGGCTACAGCTGTTGCGTGTTGATTAATCTTTTTTTTTTTTTTTTTCCTTTTTGTCTTTTTTCGTGACCGGTAACGGGATCGCAACCCTCAGTGTCGTGCCCGCACCGCGCTCAACCAGTGAGCGGACCGGTCTCTATATGGGATCCGAACCCTCGGCGGGAGCGTCGCCGTGCTCCCAAGCGCCGTACTCTACAGAGTGCACCACCAGGCCGGCCCGATTGATTAATATTTTGATGAGCAAAACCTTTCCCCAATGTAGGGGAAAGAATTTAGGTTTCTAGTTTCTTAAATGTATCTTCTCTTTTTCTGCACATATTGCAGTATTAGCTAATGTTGCACTCAATTAATGCCTTCAAGTGAAACTTTACATTGGCATCTGTTATTCATTTTTATTCTTTGGAAGTCATATTCTTGTGGGGAAGGAAATCTGAACAGCCCTGATAGATATACGTAACAGACTCATTTCAGCTTCTTAAAACTGCTTTTTCACTACAGTGGAAAGGAAGATACCCCCAACTAGCAATTACCTTTACCAAAAAAAATAATCTGCCTTCTCTGTTAGAGAAAGGTGTCTTATCTTCCACCGAGAGGAAGAGGGGTTGTCTGAAGTTTTACTTTAGTGCTTGGTTTCAGAAGGAAGGGAAGAGAACTCACCTTGAGTGTCTTATGTGTGCCATGTTCTTTTCACTTAAGTTCCCTCGTTTAATTCTAGTAGCATTCCTGTGAGATGTCTTTTTGTCCTCATTTTACAGATAAGGAAACCTGAGGCTCAGAGGTCAGGTAGCTAGCCTAAGGGCACACACATAGCCAATAAGTGGCAGAGCAGATGCTGACCAAGATCTCCTTTTTCCTTGGACCTGAACGGCTACTTTTGATTCAGATTTTGCAAGTGGATCTATTGTATGATAAGGAGTTGTAGACACTGCTATTTGATTTGAGAAATGTGACTTAATAGGCTTACTATGTTGTATTTAATAGGCTTCATTAGGTGAATAACCAAAGCCAGAATTTGTTTAAATGGGCCAATTGTTGCTCCACTGTTGTATATTAAAGAATGTTGGGTGGTTTTTTTTTTTGGAGTGGGGTTGAGGGTAGACGATTTAAGAGAGGTAATATGTATTTAGGCAGTTCTTTTGTTTTAAAAAGAGCTTTTGTAGCCATTCTCTTAAGTGACCTGTACTAATCCTCTGAGGTGGGTTGAGCATGTAACTCATTTTAGAAGAGAAACTGAGAAACATAGAGATTTAGAGACTTGGCAAGGGTCGCACACACACAATAAGTCGATGGCGGAATGCTTTATTGTTGTTAAGTGAAGAATTATCAAGTTAAACTTAAGAATTTATTTCAGGGCCGGCCCAGTGGTGCACTGGAGAGTGCGCCACTTGGGAGCGTGGCGGCGCTCCCGCCGAGGGTTCGGATCCCATGTGAAGACCGGTTCCTGCTCACTGGCTGAGCGCGGTGCGGGCGCAGCGCCAAGGGTTGCAATCCCGTTGCCGGTCCCCGGTATGGGCACGACACCGAGGGTTGCGATCCCGTTACCGGTCAGTAAAAAAGACAAAAAGGAAAAAAAAAAAAGAATTTATTTCAGATTTGAATTCTTGAGAGGCAGCTGTGAATCTTTTGTTATAGTCTACATAGTTGATTAAATGAAATAATAGAGTTTTTGCCCAGGGGCACTTACTTAAATGTTTTTGTTTTATTTGTAGCACCCAGAGGCCTCCATTCAGGCTGTTTTTTCAGATGCCCAAATGCATATTTGGGCACTAGAAGGTAAGCAATATCTGTGAACTGTAACTGTGTTTTTAATTATCAGTCAAATATTGAAGTATAATCCGTGAAAGGTCTGTTCTAAATTTTAATCCACTCTTTGAATTTTCAGATAGGCTTTTCTATCTTTGTTTTATATAGATCATTTTTTCTTAGATATTTAGGTGTATTTTGATTTGGGAAAATTTTTTTCTTATATGTAAGCAGAGAAATTGAGCCTGGGAGTCTTCCATATCTTTCTCTACTTAAAAAAAAAAAAATTCAGTGAATAGATTGTTTTTAATTTATGTTAAATATAAAAACTTAGTTAAAGAACTGTTTCTTTGGGCCGGCCCGGTGGCGCACTCGGTAGAGTGCGGCGCTTGGGAGCACGGTGGCGCTCCCGCCGAGGGTTTGGATCCCATATAGAGACCAGTCCGCTCACTGGTTGAGTGCGGTGTGGGCGCGACATTGAGGGTTGCAATCCCGTTGCTGGTCGCGGTACGGGCGCGACACTGAGGGTTGCGATCCCGTTACCGGTCACGAAAAAAGACAAAAAAGGAAAAAAAAAAAAAAAAAGAACGGTTTCTTTTTATCTTATAGATACTGCTTTCTCAATGCGTAAATGACACTCAGGCCTTTCCTGACCATCTATGCAAAGTGTCCTCTTTTCAGTTGTCACTCTACTTCCCTACCACGTTTTGTTTTTCTTCTTAGCACTTATCAGTGCCTAACACAATATTATTTAAGAACTTTTTTCCTAGTAGAATGTAGAAGAGACTTTGTCATTTTATTTGTGACTAATGTGGTTTGAGTACCTTTTCAGTGCTTATTGCAATCTTTTGCCATTTTTGTATTGTATTGCCTCCCTCTCTTTATTTGTAGTTTTCTTTCTTTTTTCTTTTTTTTTTTTTTTTTTAAAAGATGACCGGTAAGGGGATCTTAACCCTTGACTTGGTGTTGTCAGCACCATGCTCACCCAGTGAGCGAACCGGCCATCCCTATATGGGATCCGAACCCGGGGCCTTGGTGTTATCAGCACCGCACTCTCCCGAGTGAGCCACGGGCCGGCCCCCTTTCTTTTGTTTTTAATTTTAACTTCTCAATATGCATTGTAGTTGATTTTCATGACCCTTTACCTGTTCCTCTTTCCCTCCTACTCTCTCTCCTCCCCCCTACTACATCACATCTGTTCACTTGTCTTAATAAATTCAAGGAATTATTGTGACTGTTTTGTCTTCTTCCCCCTGCACCCTTTATTTGTTTGTGTGTCTGTTTGTTTATTTTTAGCTCCCACAAATAAGTGAGAACTTGTATTTCTCTTTCTGTGCCTGACTTGTTTCACTTAATATAATTTTCTAAGTACATCCATGTTGTTGCGAATGGTAGTATTCCCTTCTGTTTTATAGCAGAGTAGAATTTATCTAACTGTGTAGATATATCACAGTTTCCTTATCCACTCATCTGATGATGGACTTTTGGGCTGGTTCGAACTCTTGGCTATTGTAAATAGTGCTTCAGTAAACATTGGAGTACAGGTATCCCTTCGGCATGATGATTTCCATTCCTCTGGGTATATTCCCAGCAATGGAATAGCTGGGTCATATGGTAGATCCATCCGTAATTGTTTGAGGAACCTCCATACCATTTTCCATAAAGGCTGCACCATTTTATAGTCCCCCCAACAGTGTATGAGAATTCCTTTTTCTCTGAAACCTCATCACCATTTATCATTCTCAGTCTTTTGGATATTAGCCATCCTAACTGGAGTCAGGTGGTATCTCAGAGTGGTTTTGATTTGCATTTCCCAAATGCTGAGTGATGTTGAGCATTTTTTCATGTGTCTGTTGGCCATTTGTATATCTTCCTTTGAGAAATGCCCATTCAGCTCCTTTGCCTATTTTTTAATTGGGTTATTTGTTTTTTTGCTGGGAAGTTGTTTGAGTTCCTTGTATATTCTGGATATTAATCCTTTGTCAGATATTTGTTTTGCAAATATTTTCTCCCACTCTGTTGGTTGTCTTTTCACTCTTTTGATTGTTTCTTTTGCTGTGCAAAAGCTTTTCAGTTTGATATAATCCCATTTGTTTATTTTTTCTTTTTTTGCCTGTGCTTTTGGGGTCATATTCATGAAGTCTGTACCCACTCCTACTTCCTGAAGTATTTCCCTATGTTTTCTTTAAGGAGTTTTATTGTTTCAGGATGTGTATTTAATTCTTTAATCCATTTTGAGTTGATTTTGGTATATGGTTAGAGGTACAGGTCTAGTTTCATTCTCCTACATATGAATAGCCAGTTTTCCGAGCACCATTTGCTGAAGAGGCAGTCTCTTCCCCAGTGCGTAGACTTGATGCCTTTGTCAAAGATCAGGTGGCTGTAGGTGTATGGGTTGATTTCTGGGTTCTTTATTCTGTTCCATTGATCCGTGTGTCTGTTTTTATGCCAGTACAACGCTGTTTTGATTATTATAGCTTTGTAATATAGTTTAAAGTCAGGTAGCGTTATGCCTCCAGCTTTTTTTTTTTTTTGCTCAGGATTGCTTTGGCCATGAGTGGTCTTTTGTTATTTCATATAAATGTCTGGATAGTTTTTTTTTTTTTGTCTTTTTTCGTGTCCGGCAACGGATCGCAACTCTCGGCGTCGCGCCCGCACCTCGCTCAGCCAGTGAGCGGGAACCAGTCTGTATGTGGGATCCGAACCCTCGGCGGGAGGGCCACCGCTCTCCCAAGCGGCACACTGTAGCAGTGCGCCACCGGGCCGGCCCTAAATGTCTGGATAGTTTTTTCCATTTCAGAGAAAAATGTCATTGGAATTTTGATGGGGATTGTATTGAATCTGTAGATCACTTTGGGTAATATGGACATTTTCACAATGTTAATTCTTTTGATCCAAGAGCATGGGATATCTTTCTATCTTATGTCCTCTTTAATTTCTCTGAACAGTGGTTTGTAGTTCTCTTCATAGAGATTTTTCACATCCTTGGTTAACTTTATTCCTAAGTATTTTATTTTTTTGGTGGCTATTATAAATGGGCTAGCTTTCTTGATTTCTTTTTCTGCATGTTCACTGTTGGAGTATAGAAATGCTACTGATTTTTGTGTGTTGATTTTGTATCCTGCAACTTTAATGAAATCATTTATCAACTCTAAGAGTTTTTTTGTAGAGGCTTTAGGCTGTTCAATATATAGGATCATGTCATCTGCAAACAGGGACATTTCGACTTCATCTTTTCCAATCTGGATGCCTTTTATTTTCATCTCTTCTTCGATTGTTCTGGCTAGTACTTCCAACACTATGTTGAATAGGAGTGGTGAGAGTTGGCATCCTTGTCTAGTTCTTGTTCTTAAGGAAAAAGCTTTCAGCATTTCCCCATTTGGGATGATATTGGCAGTGGTCTTATCATATATGGCTTTAATTGTGTTGGGATACTTTCCACCTATACCTAACTTGTAGAGAGTCTTTATCATGAATGAATGTTGAATTTTGTCAGATGCTTTTTCAGCATCTATAGAAATTATCATATGGTTTTTGTCTTTGCTTTTATTGATGTGGTGTATCACATTTATTGATTTGCATATGTTGAACCAACCTTGCATCCCTGGAATGAATCCCACTTGATCATGGTGTATAATTTTGTGTATGTGTTGCTATATTCTGTTAGTTAGTATTTTATTGAGGACTTTGCATCTATATTCATCAAGGATATTGGCCTGTAGTTTTCTATTTTTGGTGTATCTTTGTCTGGTTTTGGTGTCAGGGTGATGTTTGCCTCATAGAGTGAGTTTGGAAGAATGGCCTCTGTTTCAATCTTTTGGAATAGTTTGTAGAGAATAGGGATCAGTTTCTCTGTGAAGGTTTGGTCGAACTCTGCAGTGAATCCATCTGGTCTTGGGCTTTTCTTTGTTGGGAGCCTTCTGATAACAGCTTCAATTTCTTTTATAGTTATTGGTCTGTTTAGATTTTCTATATTTTCTGGCTCAGTTTTGGTAGTTTGTATGTGTCCAAAAATTTGTCCATTTCCTCCAGATTTTCAAATATGTTGGCATATAGTTGTTTATAGTAGTCTTTAGTGATTCCTTTTATTTCTGAGGTATCAGTTGTAATATCACCTTTTTCATTTCTAATTTTTGTTATTTGGGTCTTCACTCTTCTTTTCTTAGTTAGCCTTGCTCAAGGTTTGTCAATTTTATTTATCTTTTTGGAAAACCAACTTTTTGTTTCATTGATCTTTTGTATCTTTTTTGGGTATCTATTTCATTAGTTTTGCTCTGATCTTAATTATTTCTTTTGTCTACTAACTTTGGGTTTGGATTGTTCTTGTTTTTCTAGTTCTTTAAGGTGAAGTATTAGGTTGTTTATTTGCCATCTTTCCATTCTTCTAAAGTAAGCATTTAATGCAATAAATTTCCCCCATAGTACTGCTTTTGCAGTGTCCCACAGATTTTGGTATGATGTGTCATTATTTTCATTAGTTTCAAGAAATTTTTTGATTTCCTGTTTAATTTCTTCCTGGACCCATATATCATTAAGTAGAATGTTGTTTAGGGCTGGCCTGTGGCTCACTTGGGAGAGTGCGGTGCTGATAACACCAAGGTCACGGGTTCAGATCCCTATATAGGGATGGCTGGTTAGCTCACTTGGAGAGCGTGGTGCTGACAACACCAAGTCAAGGGTTAAGATCACCTTACCGGTCATCTTTTAAAAAAAGTAGAATGTTGTTTAATTTCCATGTGTTTGTCTAGTTTCCAGAGTTTCATTCGTTATCAATTTCTAATTTTAATCCATTGTGATCTGAAAAAAATACATGGAATAATTCCAATTTTTTTAGATTTGTTGAGAGTGGCTTTGTAAACTAACATGTGATCTATCCTGGAGAATGTTCAATGAGCTGATGAGAAGAGTGAATATTCTGAGGTTGTTGGATGGAATGATCTATAGATATTTGCCAAGTCTAATTGGTCTAAAGTGTTGTTTAGATCTTGTGTTTCTCTACTGATTTTTGGCCTAGATGATCTGTCCAATGT